ACACAATAGACAATAGCAGAGGTATATCTTTAAACAAATGGATTCAAGAGAACCAAATCACATACAGAATATCCCTTTATAAAACAGCCGTACCGTCCTTTCCAAACAGTGGAGCGTTTATAGACCTATGCCTGGCAGATAACCGCATCAAATTTCATAACACACCCAGCCACCAATCATTAAACTCCTTCGAATACGATAGCGACCACAGAGCCGTGAAAATACAAATCTCCATACCATCAATAAGAACTCTAGAAATAGAGGAACTGATAACACCAGATAGATACAATTTCAACAGGGCAGACTGGCCAATGTTCAGAAATTTCCTCACAAAGACAGAAAATCCAACCATCCCAAACAATAGGAACTTAACGATAGATGAAATCGACTGCTTCATCGACAAACTAAACTCCAACATAAACAACGCAATAGACTCCTCAATTCCACGAACCTCGAAAAGTCACAACTCTACAGACAAGTACATCACACCGCAAATTAAACAATTACGCAGAGAAAAGAGCAGATTTATTACGCAAATAAACAGACTAACGAAACTGGAAAACTACACATCCGCAAACGACACGTTAATATCACTATACAAGGATGCTCTCAAAACTGTCAGGCATGAGATCAAAAAAGCGTTTCATGATTCAGCTAATAACCTTTGGAAAAGCAAAATCAGCAGCATAACCCCGCACCACTCCTCAAAGTTCTTCCCCGTGATAAATAGCATATTCCGTCCTAAGCAACAGAACAATATCGAAGTTTTAAAAATTCCACCGCAGAACGCACACTTACTTATGGAAGCGAACATACCCCCCGACTCAATACAGACAGATTCATCTAACAACTCGCTCATTACAGACACCGAACAAAAATTACTCATCCTGGGTTCCCATTTCGAACAAATGCACACGAGAAACCTCCTCATGGGTAAAGAACAACTGACAAACATAATCAAACAAAAAACGCACGCTCTCAAACAAGAAATACTAGAAGACAGACGCACCAGTAGAACAGTATGCACATTCAATGACACCAACACGTCAGATAACCCAGACGAAAATCACACACCCCCCGATTACTTCACTTCAATCGCAAAACTTCAAACAACCTTCAAAAAACTCAACAACAAAAAATCCTCCAGCTTTGACAATATTCCCAACATAGCATTAAAAAACTTACCTCTTCAGTACATAGATTACTACACGATAATATTTAACAACTGTTTAAACCTGACCTACTTCCCCACCGTCTGGAAAGTAGCTAAACTCATAACAATTAAGAAAAAAG